GCGCTTGCAAGCGTGACAATCAAATTGTTGCTTGCGCCCGCCCGCCCCAGTTCGCCGCCTCAATCCCCGCTTCACGCCCTTGGCATCTTCTGTACACGCTGAGCATTTGGCTTGCAAATTGGCCCGGATCAGCTCCCACTGGCTATGCTCGAAGAAGTCATAGGTCCGGATTTGTTGGCATGAAGAGCATTGTGCAAAGGGGGCGCGATCTTCGCGCAAAGCATCCCAATCAAGGCTCTCGCCGCGCAGCTTCTGCAGGAGCAATTGCGGGCCCTCCGAAGCCCCACGTTGGAAGAGGAACCTTGGAAACGGCCTCAGGATGAGTAGGTCCTCCCGGCGCTTGACCCGCGAGGCCGCCACCACACCGAAGCTCTTGTCCACCCTTGTGTCCACATTGAGGTCCAGCAAAGCCGCTGCCAAAGTCTTTCCTTGACTGCAGTGGGCCGTCATGGCAAAGCCGGGAATCAATGGCAACTGCCGCCTTGTGACTGCTAGCTGGGAGGGCTTCCTGTTCTTGTCCAAATGCCAGGTGCGAGAAACCGGGTAAATCGGATAGACCCCATCTTCGTTGATGCCATCGAGGCGCCAGGTGGCATTGTCGAACTTCACATAAACGACACTGGGCGCGCGATCGTTCTCTGGCCACACCCAAGAATGCACACGTCCACGGCTGCCCTTCAGCAGGCACTTGTCTGCGGACCTGTCCAAATGCTCTGTCAAGGCCACCGGCATCCCAATGCAAAGTGGTAGGGCGCCTGGCAAGTTCTCCGTGTCCTTGTCGTGGTATTGAAGCCACCTTAGTTCATGGTTTCAACCGGGGGGCTCATCTGGCAAACGCGGCTAAAGTAGCGCACAGCAAAAGCAAAAATTCAAAGGACGCAATAAGACCAGACAGGACAAGAAACAGGAGCTTCGTAGATTTGTCCAATGCTTGATTCTGCAGCACGGCTGACGAAGCCCTATCCACAGCAAACGACCAACGCAGCGTGGCACCGGTAGCGCGGGCATACTTCCTGGCCCTGTCCTTGTTGATCTGGTACTTGGCATCGTTGTTTGCAACGATGACTGGAGCCTCTTGGAATTTCTCTTCTTGCAGCCGCTTGTCTTGTGGTCCTGAAATGACCCTACATCGAGAAGCTCGCTCTTCAAAAGACAAAGTGCACCCTTTCACCGGCAACCCGTGCAAGTAGTCGTAGTTGGCGTCGGACAGAGCGCCCGCTCGAAGCTGATCGTTGACTTCATTCCACCAAACATCCTAGGCAGGGCAATTGGCGGCAGCACAGATGGGACATTGGAAGACAACAGCCTAGTGAAAAACAACAGCCCGTTCCACTTTGCAGTCCTTGCACCGCTCCCGTTGGTGCAGCTCGGTGACGCCTTGTGTAGACTCCCAGAGAATACTGAGCCCGCTGTCCTTCCGTGCGTCTGGCTGTGGAACGTCTTGTCCTCGAAGATGTTGTGGGATGCTCCCCAAGAAGCCGCCTTCTGGAGGAGGCAACTGAAAGAAGTCGCCGCCCATAATGATGTTCACGCCGCCAAAGGGCCTGCATATCGTTTCAGGGTTGAATTCAAGCACACGTCAAAATACCTTTTAGTAGCGTATATAGTTCCGTAAGTTCGAAACCGTTTCCACCTGCTGACAATATCTGCGCCGCGAGCTTGCAACAAGACAGGACAAGTTCTATGACCACTCGAGCCTTGCCTTGGTTGGCCTTGCCCATCGAACTTGAACTTGTCGGCGTCAGATTTGACTGATCGGATCCTGTGATCCATGCGCCCCAGCAGCTGCGCCCCAACCATGCTGATTTCATCCAAGAAGACCCAGCGCCAATAGGACATTCGCTTGGCAGTTGTTGCTGCAATCGCTGCTGCGTCCCCGGAGCTGTGTTGCTCTGTCCTGAAACCGCACGCATGATGAATGGTCTTGCCCGCAAGGGAGGCTGCGTTGACCGCTTGGAACGCAAGCACCTCATAGTCGATGCCCTGCCTGTAGCCAATGAGATCGAAGAGCTCTCGCAAGAAGATGAGACAATGAGACTTTCCTGTGCCAGGTGGCCCGTGTAGCAAGTGACACATTGGCTCTGCATTCTGCAGCGCCGTCTCTTCTATTGGTGCCAGTTCGAGCTCGACCAGAAGCCTGTCGACAACCAGCTTCAAGAGTTCGTGCTGTTCTTTGTTGGTGTTGTCCGAGACGTGGTGGCTGTAGAGCCAATTTCGCAATGTAGCGGCCGTGAGAGGGGCCTGCCCACGCACGCTGGCATCATCAGCATTGACCCCAAGCAGCCCTAGCGACTGCTGATTTTCGATTGCAGCCTGGTTCCTTGAGGCTTGAGAGGCCTTCTTTGCCAAGGCGTGGTCCACAACAGCGTCTGCGCCTTCCATGGGGATGGTAACGTGGGCATCTTCCCGCTGCGCTCCCTTTGTTGGTTCAAGCCAGATGGAAGCCGAAAGCCTGAACATGTGTTTCGTCATGTCATGGAGCTTGCTGCCCACTGCCTTGTCCGCGTCGAGCTCCTCGTCTTGGTCATGCTTTCCTCGCCTGGCCCGCTGGCTGCCCTTGATGTGCGTCTGAACGGCCTCCAGAACGTCCTCCTCATCCAGCGCAAAGTTGACGTCGTTTTCGATATCTTCGTTGTCGCTGTTTTCTGCTAAGCCGTCAATCAGCTCATACTCTCGAGGTAGACAATAAGTGAAGCAGAAATCGAGAACGAAGCGCTTCACCTCCTCCAGGGGAACGCGCGCTAGCACACAAAGCAATATTTTTGATGCAATTTGGTTTCACCCTGTCCTGCGTAGGATACCCCCGTCTATTCACTTGCATACACAGCGCTTCACGCCAGCTACGAGCATCCGAAGGCCAAAGGTCAGCGATGTAGGGCACAGCATCGGAAGAATCTTGAACATCATTCATCCAAGGAAAGAATAGGACAAGGATGCGCATGGCCATGTCGTCTTCGTTCCTGCTGCCTGGCAACATTTCAATCGCGCGTGTGGTTGAAACAAAAAGTGACATGGAGGAAAGGCGCCGTGGGCAAAGGGCAATTGCAGCTTTCGCCCACCACGCCTTGCGCGCCGTAGAGCACGGGCACGTAGGGTCGTTTGCGCTGCACCATCACCCAATCATGCCGGTATGGCTGGGCGTATTCTCCGTGGCCCAACGGTAACCACGCTGGGCCACCCTCTTCTTGGATGACATAATGCGTTTGAGGTCGGAGGTGTCGTCGCCTGCAATTGGCTACTTCCTCGATGCCCTGAGCTGTCAACGCGGCATGGTATTTCTGAAGGTCTTGCAGCTGGGCTTGATGGGTCTTCATGCTCAATGGATGGGTCGCCAGATCGAAGTCGAATTCCCGCGCGAACTCATACGCTGAAAGCATGTGTACCTGTCATGGTGATAGGCCAGGAACACAACATATAGAATATACACAAGCCAAACTTTGTATATGGGATGACAAGAAACTGCACTGCGTCGCAAACGTTTTAGGTCTCGGGCCTTGGGGTGCCGTCCTCTTGCGCCATAGACAGTCCAGAAAGGACACTCTGTGATTTTCCTCGCGGTATCACAGCGCTTGTCCACGATGGCCCTGGTAGTTTCCTTTGGCCAATGCTCCTGTGCTCTCACGGCCTGCAGCAATTGTATGGGGTAGACAAGCGCAATGTCGGTGAGAGGTGCAGTCTTGATGCTTTCAGCAGAAGTGGGATCTTTGCTCTCAGCGTGCAAAAGCAAATTTGCGCACTCGACCGCTCCTCGACAAACTCCGCGAGCAAACAGGTCCGTGCAAAGCCTCTTGCTCACACGAGCGCCCAAGTATCCTGTTGGCTTCCCTTCCAAGTCCACGCCAAGCTCTCTTTGACCTCTCATCCATTCCTTGACTTTCACGCGTAGCTACCTTGAGGCGCTTGTTCTGATAGTCGCACATATAGCCCACCTGGCAGGGAAGAGTGCTTCCAATAAAGACAGCCAAAAAGCGCGTCTCACGACTTACAATATTATTACGAAACAACTCGCTTCTCTTCCGTCCTGGGCCGACTGGTTGATCTGAGCTTCACGCGCCAGAGTCCACAAAGGCATCTTGGTATCGCACTGCTCACTGCTGCAACTGCGGTCATGTGTGTCCACGGTGATTGGAAACCGAAAAGGCAATTGCACGTCGCCGTTGCAGCGCAAAGAAGCCAGAAGTGCAGGATGGTTGCCGTTGATATTCGGTTCGTTGCAAGGTCCCCAGAGCATCCCAACCATGCTTCGCTTTGATTTGCGTGGCATGTCTTTCTCTGTCGCCAGGCCGTGGCAAATCAGCTGCGGGCTCTCTGACAACCAAGCATCTCGTGGAAAGAAGCTCTTGCATTTGCTGGGTTCCTGCGACGATGCAGCTGGCCGTCAATTCAAGGTTAGGATGATTGACGTTTCGTTTAGGTTTAAGCTGGGTCCCTGGCCTTGGGATCTCTGCAGTGTTCCAAAGGCTGTCGCTTTCCAAACTCATCTGGTAAATGAACATGGTGCTGCTTATGTTTCTGCAAGGCTTCGACGTCATTCGCCAAATATTTGGCAAGCCATTCAGTTGCCGGTAGACCTGGGTCGCTTTGATAACTGGGCCGGCTCAACATCAAGGAGCTCTGTCTAAATTCCGGCCACTCGCCCTCCAGCTCATCGCGCTCTTCGCTCCAAGCCTCTGGGTCACAATACACCTTGCGCGTCACATGTCCAGAGTAATCAGAATATTTTCGCAGCAGCTCCAGCATAGGCTCCGCGCCCTGCGCGACAAGCTCGCTCAGCGGGTGAAATTGGTGGAAGCACTGCAAGAAGAATTGACCGTGTAGGTGGAGTGCCCCGCTCTTTTGACATTCCAAGGACCCGTACGCTGCATCAAAACGTCCGAAAACCCCGCCCGCTGCAGTCGCATTGCTGCCGAACGCATCAGCGCACGGGTTGCCGGACGCAGCGCAGTCAGGACAACGAGGACACAACCTGATGCCGAAGATATGTCGAAAAGCTAGGCCCACCAAGGCCAAGAAGCCATTCAAACAGGCCAACGGGTCCCTCGCAAGAATAGCTTTTCGCTCGTCATAAGTTGGCATGGCCTCCAACAAGGTATTCAAGTTGCAAAACGACGAGACTGCAGACTGTCCAAACAAAGAAAAGGAACGCTAAAGCCACTAGACTATGTCACGGCCAACCACACCCGCCTCTGCCAACGCCTCTGGTGATAGCTGGATGAAATCCACGTCCAAAGCTGGCAGGTGTCTCTGGTAGTAGGCTTTGGAGCTGTCATTGCTCAGGGCTGGGTCATTCTGCCGTGCCCGGGCCATGCGCAACATGAGGGTGGTGTCTCGCTCGGATGGCGAAAAGGTGAAGAAGCAAGCAAGGCCGTAGGTGACACGGTAGCTGTGCGTCTGATGCCGCAT